TTGGGAGAAAACCACCTTCAATGTAAATTCCATAAAACGTCTTTACAAAATAAACTGGTTTATGAGGACAAATGAGAAAGAAATTTCTTCAATGGTTCTAAAACTTTTATATTAAAAAAGACCCCAATTTTAAAATTTTTATAAAAACGTTTTTTACCGTCAGAAATGATTCAAAATAGTCTCAAATTAAAATATATAAATCAGTGGTTCTAAAATTATTCATTTGAAAAATGAGTATTAAAGAATTCTCATGGAATAAAAACATATCAAACAGAAATAATGATTATCTACTACCTAGAAGTATAAGGGGTTTAATTGTTGGTAAATCAGGTTGTGGAAAAACTAATTTACTTTTAAATCTACTTCTAAAGGATTTCTTAGATTATGATAATCTTCAAGTCTTTGGAAAATTTCTTTTTCAGCCAGAATATAAAATAATTAAAACAGGATTTGAACAAAGATTACCAAAATAAATTTTACAACAAGTATTTAAAAACAAAGATTATATAATAGGTGAAGGTGTAGCACCACATCAATTATTGCAAGAAGCTGGAAAACAATCTTCTTCCTCCAAAACACCAATAAAATGTTGTTTTTATGAAAATGCTAACGATGTTCCAGATCCAAAAGATCTTAAATCCACAGATAAAAACCTTGTGACATTTGATGATCTTCTATAAGAAAAACAAAATAAATGTGAAGATTATTATGTCAGAGGCAGACACAGCAATGTTGATTATTTTTATTTAGCACAAAATTATTTTAAATTGCCGAGACAAACTATCAGAAAAAATGCAAAATTCATATGTTTATTCAAACAGGATGCAAAAGATCCTAATCACATTTACAACGATCACGCAAGCACTGATATGCCAATAGAAGAGTTTAAAAAACTGTAAAAAGTGTTAGGAACAACCATATGGGTTTATTGTTATAGATAATTATAGCAATAAATACAATGAAAAATATAGATTTAAATTAGATATCTTTTATTTTCCTGATTAAAATAGAAGACCTTCTCAAACAAATATTTGAAAATACAAAACCTAAATTCTCAGATCAAATTCATGTCTCTAGTAATAAAACGTCATTTAATATAAAATTTACTCCCTCACTAGAACTTGATAAAGATAAACATTATGAGATCGCTTTAGTTAACTTGGAGACGTATTATTCTTTTCCTAATATTAGCAAAGAGAATAACCTTTTTGAATATTCAAGAGACAACGGACAAACATGGGTAAAAATATTTATTCCTGAAGTATCAAATGAACTTAGAGCTTTAAATTCAAAAATACAAAGTTTGCTTGATCCTGTCCTATTAAAAAAAAAAAAAAGCTTCCGGCACTTCTCAGATAGGAGCTTTTAGTATAGTAATTGAACCAAAAAAAGAAACTCTAAAATCAATAATGACTATTAAAGCAGGATATAAAGTAAATTTTATAGAAAAGAATACATTTGCTGATTTATTAAGATTTCAAAATAAAATACATTAATCTGGCACTCATGAATTAGAACATATTGTAAATATTATGCATATCAGTAGCATTTTAATTCATCTAAACATTATAAATGGATGCTTCGTGAAAGGGTCTATAAACCCAGTTATTTATTCTTTCTTTCCAAATGTATCTCCAGGTAGAAAAATTGTTTAGAAATCACATAACCTTGTTTTTTAACCTGTTAATATCAAAACTAAGATTTGAAAATAAAAATTACTGATCAAATATAGGAGTAAATAAATCCTTTAAAAAATGGCTACAACATATGAACAAGTAAAATTAAATATCTCTGACAATCAAAAAGATAAAATACAAAAAGCTTCAAAAAATAAAACACCGGTTACTGTTAGAATTACAGAAATAGGTAATGATTTATTAGCCTTAACAAAAAGACAAATAAACAAATTAGAAAAAAGCATTGCTTAAAATAAGGGTGCTGATATTACTTTAAGTAAAAAACAAATATAATATTATATGAAGATTAAAGGAGGTTTTCTTCCTGCACTGGATGCTTTGGTATTACCATTATTAAGAACAGCAGTTCCTGTTGTAGCAAAATCGTTAGGTAATGGTGCACTTACTGGTTTAGTTTCTAGTGGTGTTCAAAAATTTATAGGCAACGGATTATATTTGAAAAGAAATGGCTGTCAAATTGAATCTGATGGCAAAAGGACTGTATTAAGTCCGATAAAAGGTAATAGATTAGAGTTACGGCGAGATGGATTATATTTATCAAGAGAAGGAAATATTTATGATGGCAGTGGACTTCTAGGTGATTTAGTTAAAAATATTCCAGTTCTTAATATGTTATTTTAATAAATTTGTTGCCTTAAAATTGGAAGTAAAAGAAAGAATATATATCTTATTTAACCTACTGCACCACCAGAAAACACAATAGAAGCTAACAATTATAGAATACAAAAAATAATAGATATTCAAAACTGTTTTTAAAAAAATAAAGAAAATAGAAGAAAGACATTAAAAAACATATACTAAAGTATTATCAGCATTTTAAACCACTGACACAATTTTAACAACTGCTTCAATAGGTATTGGTTTTACAGGAGGAGGTTTATTAACCACAATTGTTGCAGCACAAATAGTTTTAGGAATGGAAATTGCTGACGTAGGAATGGGAACAGGAAGTATTATAATTAAGTATATAAATTAAAAAATTACAACACAAAGCTGATAAACATAGACAGATTTAAATTTTATCAGAATCAAAACTTTTTACAATTCATAATCATATTTCCAAATCACTTGAAGACGGGAGAATATCTGAAGAAGAATTTAAACTTATTTTAGAAGAAGTAACTAAATTTAGAGATATGAAAGAAGCAGTAAGACATCATAATCGTATAACTACAGCACAAATTCTTGAGAATCACACAAATGAAAAACAAGATTTATTAAATAAATAAAAAAAAATTTTAGAAGAATCAAAACTAAAAGATTAAGATTAAGTTTTAAAATATATATAAATTTAAAATTATAAGTTAATAATAATTCATCAAAATTAATTATTTAAAATGTCTTTTTTAAATATCACAGATCCGAAAAAAAGAGAACAAAATCAAATGGTTAATGAATTTATTTAAACAAGAAGAAATATTCAATTAAATAATATGTGTGAAAGACTTTCTCCTATAACTGAAAGTCAATAAAAAGCAGCTGAAGTTACTCAAAAAGCAATTGGTGAAATACCTTTTCAGTTAGCTTTAGAATTACCAAATAAAGGACAAATTGCCATAGAACAACCTCCGCAGAATTTATCTAGTTATGGAAAAATTGCTGTAGAATATTTACAAAAAAATATATGAAGATAAAGAAAATGCAGATACAAAATATTGTATTCGTTCTACGGATAATAAATTTTTTATTGGTATTAAAGAAGTAAAAATTGATGGTAATGATATTATTTTAAATGAAAATAGATATACAGGAACTCCAGGTTTATGGGAATTACTAACTCGTAATGTTCCATAAAATTATTCCGAAGAGGATAAAAGAAAGTATGCAGATATATTATATGCTACTAATGCCATGTATGTGGATTATGATCCAAGTAAAGGACAATCTTTCAGTACCGGAAAAAAAATGGAAAAATATAATAAGTGACATATGGAAAACTAGACCATTATCTATTAAGGAAATTACTCCATCTAGCAGTCAATCATCTGATCCTAATGAATTAATAAACAGATTTGGATTATTATTATCAAGTAAACAAGCAGGAAAAAATGAAATGATGAATATAGCATATCAACTTTATACACAAAAAGAAATAAATGAAAATGAGTATCAAGCAATGCTGAAACAGGCTAGTTAAAATTAATTATAAAAAATGTTGGTAATACGAAGTTATGAAAAAAAAAAAAAAAAAAAAGACAATATAAAGGATTAGGATTCTTTGACAATTTACTTTCTGCTGTTACCTCAAAAGTTACACAAGATGCTCTGAAAGAAGTAGTTGTAAATATTGGAAAAAAAGCTGCAACAGATTTAGGTAATAAAGCTGGTGAAAAAGTTATAAATAAAATATTTCCCAAAGAAACACAACAAACAATTCCATGTAAATTAACTCCAGAATCAAGAATACTATTAAATAATATATTAACAAGACGAATATATTTAGAAGAATATAATTTATATATTTAAAATGTTAAAAGAAATAATTAAATTCATAAAAAATTATAATGAGTTTTATGAAGATATTATAGATGATTTTCAAAAATTGAAACAATAAAGTATTGCAAATAAAGCTGCTACATCTGAATCTTTATTTATTACTTATAAAACGTTAAAAATAGCAATGGAGATTGCAGGAGATACTATATATGATCTATCAACAGAAAGAGATATACTAAAAGATAAATTAGATTCTTATGGAGAATATAATCCTGAAGAAGTTAAAAAAAAAACTAATTCAAAATAAAAGAATTAAACAAAGTAATGATGAAAAGAATTTAAAAAAAAAAAAAAAGAATTATTAAAAAACACAAAAAGCAAAAACTTCAACCGAAAAATAATTATTTCCTTTATATTATTAACTTCAAGTAATTGTATAATTGTTTTTTTTTTTGCTTTATTGAAATATTCATTTGTTTCCATTTTCTACATGGTTTTTAGTTGTTTCATCTCTTCAATTGACACTTCTCCATTCCCTATTTTATCATGTTTATGTGTGTCCGATTTTGTCTGATTTTGTCTTCTTTTTGTCTTCTTTTTGTCTGTTACAATAATGTCTCTATTTTCAATTATTTCTGATAGATGTTTACTTCTTTCTTGAGCTTTTACACCTGATTTAGTCTTTGCAATAAAATCACAATAATCACATTTCTGAGGATTAAAAACCCTTTTTAATTTTTTTTCTTTTGAAACATTGTTTCATTAATATCATTAGAATATATTTGCAAAGTTCTTACAGATACATCTACATTTTTTGCTATATCTTTTTTTGTCATCTTAGGATTTTCAGTTTTTATATTCATAGCTTTATCTATCAAAGCCATTTATAAAATTTAGTGTTCTCATATTTTCATTCACTGAATGTGTATAATGTTTTGTGTATTCAGTAAATGAAGTCATTTTAATAACTAAAAAATAATTAATTTTGGTCACCGCGGTGATTCAGAATATGTTTTATTTGAGATACATTTTTTATAATCTCTCTATATGATAAATTACAATTTAATAAAATTGCATACTGATTACAACTATTATAAAATCTTATATAATCTTTAATAGCTGATTTAATTCTTTTGAATTTTTCTTAAGTAAAAACCAGAAACTCTTTCTCACTACTGTATTTAGATTTAAGAATACTTAATAAATATCCAAGATTAAAATAATAACCTTTATTTTTTTTTCAATATCATCTACATGGTTTAATATTTTTAAACACATATCAATAATTTCATCTTCTGAACTTTCATTATTAATTTTAAATTTAACTTCTTCCACATCTAATATTTCAAATAGTCTTTGACTTAAATCTTTTGGAATCATTTTAACTCTATTTTTTACTTTTTTTTTAATTGTTTGTTAAAACATCTTCCCACTCAATATTTAATTTCAAACCATTTACTTTCTCAAAATGTCTAACAACTTTCTTAAATTTATTTATTTTTTCATCAGATATATAATCTTTAATTTCATTTATAAAATCAGAAATTACTTGTTCCATTTTTTTATACTAAAAATTTCCCATTCCCAATGCTACTTTAGCTTTAATAATATTACCAACAATTCATTTATCTATTCTTTCTCTTAAAGTAGGATTTAAAATATTAAGATCTTGTAACATCTTCTCATCACATACTTCATTCCTAGTTTTCTTATCTTCATTTTGAAGTAACAAATATCATGATGCGTAGCAGCTTCATCTACTTTATTAATTGGTTTACTCCATGGTTGAGGTGTAAAATTAGGAGGATTTCCATAAGGATCTTTTAACCTTTTCTATAAATTTCTTCCAGATCCTGTAAAATTATGTCCTGGTAAATGAAGTTCAATAGGAAGTTTATTTATTATACTATTTAAGTTTTCTCCTTCAGTCAGTTCAAAAGCTTTAATTAATTTATTTTTTACAGTTCCACGTACAACACATTTTCCTTTTAACATATCTCTATTATTTTTAGTTTTAGTTTGTATTAAATCTAAAGTATCTGTTTTCTTTTTACATTTTGAACAATAGAGCTTAGCCATGACTTTGTCTATTTTATATAGTTTAAAATGACAGAACAAAGTTATGGCCAGGTTATATAAGTAAAAAACATATTATTACCAAATGAACCTCTTTCTAACTTTCAATTACTTGATGCTGTTAGGAAGTTAAAAATTCCTAATTTTAGAGGAGTTTTCATAAGAAAAGAATTAACCAAAAAACCAAGAAAAAAAAAAGAATGTGGAATAATGAATTTAGATGATGATCTAACAGATAAAACAAAGGGAACCCATTGGGTTGCGTGGTATAAAAATAATAATGATAAGATATATTTTGATAGTTTTGGAAAGCAACCTCCATTTGAAATGGTTGATTATCTTAGAGAAAAACCAGGAGATATAGAATATTCTACTGATCAAATACAACCTTTTAATACAGTAATTTGTGGTCACTTGTGTTTATATGTTTTAAAATAATTAAACAGTGGGAAAAGTATTCAACAGATAGTTTCACCTTTATTACATATTTTATAATAGAAAATGTCTGTAGATATTTTTGGATCAACAGATGATGAACCATCTTCTACAGTTCAACCTCTACATAAGTATGCTCTAAATCTAGATGCTTTAGAGAATGTAGAAGGATTTGATAATAAAGGAAAAAGGGATAGCTTATATGGTTTAAAGCTTACAGAAAAAGGAATATTTACTAGACAAGAAATTGATTTAACAGACCTAGTAACTGGTGTGGAAGGGATAGAAAGAAAACCTTTCACATGTGTATATGAAGAGAATAAATGGATTCCAATACCAGCTAAATATGAGTGGGATATTGACATTAAATTAGCCCATAGTACTATTTCAAGAAGGGCTGGTATAATGGCTATAAATAATTCTGGAATAATAATTGGAATGTTAATTTCTCAACCTTCCAATGAATTAATAGGTGATGCAGTTTTAATGAGAAGAAGTAGAGAAAAAGCATATTGCATTTCTTCCCATGAAAAAAAAAGCAGTTCATCTTAAATTTGAAATCGATCATGCACTAGATAAAAATACTATCAACAACCCACCTGTTGGTAGTACAATAATAATTGAAGGTAAAATTCGTGATAAGAGTGAGGAAAAAGAAATACTACCAGGATTACTAATTCATGATTTTTATTTATTATATCTGTCGTATAAGATTAACAATACAACCTTTTAGTGATAATGAAATTAAATACTTATAAAATGGTTGTAGATATTTTCGGTTCAATGGGCGATGATCCATCTACTGTTTTAACAAACATTACAAAAATAAATAATTATGCTTTGAATTTAGATGATTTAGAAAATGTAGAAAAATTTAATAAGAGAGGTAGAAAAGATGGTTGTATGGTTTCAAACTTGCAGAAAAAGGAATATATATTAGACAAGAAATTAATTTATCAAAAAGTAGTGGTAATGTAATGGATAATGGTGTTTTGGAAAATCAACCATTAACAATTGTGTTTTCAAAGAAAAAGTTGATTCCTTTACCTTTGAAATTTAATTGGGAGCTTGATATTCAATTATCTACAGATAAAATATCAACAAAAGGGGTTGATAATACTAAATTAAAAATATTTAATTCAGGAAAAATGCTAGGAAGTTAAGTGGCTCCATCTAATAATGAGAATAGATCAGTATTAAAAAGAGATAATGGAGAATATTTTATTGCATCGAGTCAAGTAAAAACTCCAGGCATACTATCTTTTAAAGCTGAATTCGAAGAAGAAATAGAATTTGTTAAAAATCCTCTAGAGGGTTCAACTATCATAATTGAAGGGAGGTTTATTATAGGAGGTAGTAATTTTTATGAGATTATATCTGGTTTAGAGATAAAATGTGAAACTCCTAATACAGATTTTAAAATTATAATAAAAAGAGAAGGGGTAAATGATAAAATATTAGTTATACCTTCTACAACTGAAAAGAAAACGTGCAGAAGGAAAAAAAACAATGTTTTTTAATGAAATTTCAGTCTTGAATAAATTTTATATTAAACGTATAATACGTAAGATTAACAGATTTACCTGTTACAATGGAGAGTATTTTATACTTATAATATTATATTTTTAACTTTGTAAAAATATACACTTTTTACTTTGTAAAATATACACTTTTTACACTATTTTTTAATGCTATTAAAATGAATGAAGAAATTCTAAAAATAGATGAAAACCTTAAAATTGATGAAAGTTTAGAAAAATATGAAGTTCATGAATATGAACCAATGTTAGGAACAACAAATCTAAACACCGTGGGAGAAATCAGAATAGTTATAGAAGAACAAGATTTGTTCACACATCCTAGTGAAAGTTATTTATTTATTGAAGGAAAACTTGTAAAGACAGATTGTTCCTCATATGTAGATGCAGATTTAGTTGCCTTGAGTAATAACGGTTTAATGTACATGTTTCAAAATATAAGATATAACCTATCAGGACAAGAAATGGAAAGTGTTAATCATCCCGGTAAAGCAACAACAATGATAGGTCTTTTAAAATAACTAAAATGTTGAGGAAACTTCTGCTTTAAATTGGATGTGGTGCAAAGATAATACTAATATTGCTGAACTGAAAACGAATACTGGTTTCAACATACGACATAATATTCTTATTAAAGAGCCAAATCGCAACGGAACTTTTAGTTTTAGAGTTCCATTAAAACCTATTTTTGGTTTTGCAGATGATAAAATAATTTACGGTTTTAAACAACAACTAACTTTGAACAGAAAATCAGATGATGATGCCATATTTAAAGCTGCTGCAGTAGATGCTGAAGAATTATTTTAAATAAATTAGCATGGTTTCTTCCCCATGTTGAACCAGCTTCAGAACAAAGGAATAAATTGCAAACGATGATTCAAAAAAAAAAGATTACATTTAATGTAGGATATAGATTTAGACAGTGGGATTCTATTTCTGTTTAAGAAACCACAAATTTCTCATTGAGATTATCTGTTAAAAGTTCTTCGGAAAGTCCAAGATGGATTATAATAGGTTTTCAAACAAATAAACAATTAGATCAAGATAAAAACGCATCGGTGTTTGATCATTGCGATATAAAAAATATGTCTGTAACTTTAAAAAGTGGAATAACTGTTGCAGAAGCTTTTAAAAAGATATTTTCTAGAGATCATAGAAAACCAGAAAAACTAAGGGTTTGATAAAGGAAGTGAATTTTATAATAAATATGTTAAAGATCTTTTAAAAGTTAATAATATTGAAATGTATTCTACAGAGAATGAAGAGAAAAGTTATGTTGTAGAAAGATGGAATAGAACTATGAAAGAGAACATGTATAAATATTTTACTGCTAATAGTGTAACAAAATATTATAACATATTGGATGAATTAGTTACTGATTATAATATCACATATCGTAATTCTTTTAAAATGACTCCTGTTGATGGTTGTAAAAAAATCTAATGAAGATTTAGTAAGATAAAACTTATATGGATCTGGAACTGAATATGATGAAATAAAACCTAAATTTAAAATAGGCGATAGAATAACAAAGAAGAAGTTTTTTGAAAAAGGATACACACCAAAATGAACAACAGAAATATTTATTATTAGTGAAGTTTTATAAACAAATCCTGTTACTTATAAAATAAAAGATTTAGAGGGTGAAAAAATCATAGGATCATTTTATGAAAAAGAATTACAGAAAAAAAGGTTCTAATTTTTTTAACCATGTGGTAATGTTCTCATTCCATCAGCATAAATATATCTTTTATCATCAAAAGCTGTTGTGATTTTTTTATTTAATTCTTTTATAAAAATTTCGTGTTGATCTGAATTTAATGTAAACGTTTTATGATAGCTTTCATTTCCTGAAAATAAACAATTTTTATAATCTTCAAATGTAATTTCTTTTTTAATTGTTGCCATACTGTTTCCTTTAAATTTTTTCTTATTTTTTTTCTTTTAAATTTTTAAAACTATATGCTTTACTTTAATTAAAATGGTGATTTATAAATTTAAAAGTATTATTTTCTTCAGTGGGAAGAATAGGTTTTGCTAATGGTTGATTTCCATAATCCTTTTGATGATTGGTTAATGCTTGAGAAGTAGTATAAGACTGTAAACATCCTCTACATAAATATCTTCTATTGCCTTTACTAGATAAAAGTGCTTCAAGATTTTTAATTAAACAATAATGTGTTATTCCTTCATTTTCAACATAAAATAAATCAATAATATGATCTCTATTTGTAATATATATCGGATATATGGATTTTACATTTTTTGAAGAGCATAAACATTTATACTTATATTATCATTATTATTTTCAAACTTTGGAATATCATTTATTTTAACAGGATAATCAATTTTGTCCAAATTAATGTATTCGTCATATTCTCTATAATGAGATACTCTTTCTGGGTGAGATTTAATTTATTTTTTAGAACAGTAGCTATAATACACCATAGAAAACATTTATTATCCTTGTTTTGTATATTTAAAATATTATTATTTTTAAAGGGAAGTTCAAAATAAGATGATCCTGTTAATGGTTTTACTTTTACAACAGTTAATTCTGTTGAATTAATATGATCGAAAATATATCCACTTCCTTTTTGTTGAAAACTATCTACCCAAGCAATACATTTTTGTTCTATTCTATTAAATAATTCATCAAATTGATTCATTGAATTTAAATTATTATAACCCAAATTAAAATATACCACTATATCACTATAATTTATTGGATGAGTGAAACAATCAATAGTGAACTTAAATTTAATTGATTTATAATTGTCTAGAATATTCTCTACACTACTATATATTTTATTACAATAAGTATTTATATTTGTTCCTCTTTTTTCAATTATATGAGTATTTAAAACATTTTTAAAATTCTTTTTTGGTTTTGAAATTCTTTTTTGTAATTCTTTCTTTTTGTGTGTTTTTGATTTTTCATGTTTTGTTAGTTCTTTTATATTATCAAATGTTTCTTTACAAGTTGGACAATATAATTTTGTATTTTTATTTGCTTTTTTTTTAAGATAACTTTTTTAATATACTGTTTCTGATAATCTGGATTTCTAATAATAAATTCATCATATGCTTGTTTATATTTTTCTTTGTTATTTATATAGTGATTTTTATTTTCAAATTTTATCACATTCTTTACATCTTCCTTTACGACCATCACGACATGTTTTCTCTCTAGCAAAGAAATTAAGTGGTTTAGTGATAAAACATATATTGCAAGATTTACTCATTTGTATATATGAAAAATTTATATATATATATATATATCTTTTATTGATATTTTTAATCAATTTTTTTTTTATATTAAAAAAATTACTATCATTAGTAGTGATATAGATAATTAGGATTCTAAAAAAAATCATTTTTTTTTTCCTAATTTTATTATTTTTCTTCAAAAACTGAACGAAAAGTGAGGTTGTGGGGAAAAGAAATCATCATTAGTAGTTATAGTAATTACAGTCTCAGGCAAGTCCATTTATAAAATTTGTTTCTGTTCTCTTCAAAAACCGAACGAAAGTGGGGTTTTGAAAAAAAAAAAAAAAAAAGAATTTAAAAAAAAATAAAATGGAGTGGCCTGAGACAGTAATTACTATAACTACTGACTGCAGTTGAGTCGGGACAACAATTTGCGCTTTCATAAACAATGACTAAGAAGATCACCCCTTTGGAACGGGTAAAAATATACAGAGAAACACTTGAACGTTTCGACAAAAAACTTTTATCTGCAAACAGCACACGTAAACACATATCCACACACATATCCACCCACCCACATACACACCACCCACAAACCTTCACCACGACACACACCACACATACACACTTTCACCCACCGACACACACACTCACACACATTAACACGCATACACGCACACACACCCACGCATAGTCACCCACAATATAATTTCACACACCATACACACACACACATACATACATACATACATACATACATACATACATACATACATACATACATACATACATACATACATACATACATACATACATACATACATACATACATACATACATACATACATACATACATACATACATACATACATACATACATACATACATACATACATACATACATACATACATACATACATACATACATACATACATACATACATACATACATACATACATACATACATACATACATACATACATACATACATACATACATACATACATACATACATACATACATACATACATACATACATACATACATACATACATACATACATACATACATACATACATACATACATACATACATACATACATACATACATACATACATACATACATACATACATACATACATACATACATACATACATACATACATACATACATACATACATACATACATACATACATACATACATACATACATACATACATACATACATACATACATACATACATACATACATACATACATACATACATACATACATACATACATACATACATACATACATACATACATACATACATACATACATACATACATACATACATACATACATACATACATACATACATACATACATACATACATACATACATACATACATACATACATACATACATACATACATACATACATACATACATACATACATACATACATACATACATACATACATACATACATACATACATACATACATACATACATACATACATACATACATACATACATACATACATACATACATACATACATACATACATACATACATACATACATACATACATACATACATACATACATACATACATACATACATACATACATACATACATACATACATACATACATACATACATACATACATACATACATACATACATACATACATACATACATACATACATACATACATACATACATACATACATACATACATACATACATACATACATACATACATACATACATACATACATACATACATACATACATACATACATACATACATACATACATACATACATACATACATACATACATACCTACATACCTACATACATACATTTAGCTAAATTATAGTTAGTTTTCAGGGTTTTAAATTTATTATTAGAATATCATGATCTACCATAACCAAGCTTTCTAAAGTACACAAAAACTGCACCGCAAATGTTGCCTTTGTTGGTGTAAGAGTACCAGTTATCTGTCATTTTTGTCAATGCAGTATGACAAGAGTGTTTAGGTCTGAACCCGGACTGGCATCAACTATCAGATTGTTGTTATTTAAGTGCTGAAACGTTATTTTGTGTATGCGTTTCTATAATGTCCAGAAAGCGATGGCAATAGAGAAATGGGTCTATACGTGCTAAAATAACTGTTGTCATCTGAGCCAGGTTTGAGCGGAGGATAGACTTTAGCAATTTTAAATGCTGATAGAAATTTGTTCTTAGCAAGGCACTGATTATTTATAAATGTTACGTCCCTAATGACTGGTGCAGCAAATTGAAGAATTCTATTAATGATTCCAGCTATGCCAGATGTTTAGGTTGTTTTTGGCTTGAGATTGGAGAGATATTTATACATTTCCACAACAGACAAAAGAGGGATCTCAGAATGATGCTGGCAAGCTTGTCACACTGTGAGTCTGGTAATGAGGACTTAAAATTTGCAATTTGTGTTTTGAGAAAGGAATTGAACTCTTCACATGCTAGAGAGTTGATATTGCCTCATCTGAAGAATTTTTCTTGTTGGCTGCAGTGTTTATAGCCTTCCATGTGTCGGCAATGTTTGTTTTATCTTTAATCAATTTATTAAAGATATCTTTCTTCATTTTACTAACTTCCTATTGCATTTTATTTCTTAATTTGCCATAGGTAGTCAAGTTATTAATCTTTTTAATGCCTCATCCCGGTCTCTGATAATTTCTGGAGCTGCATGGTAATTTAATTTGGTTTTTCACTCAGACTTATTTAACTGGTACATGTTTTTCAAAAACAATGTAGACTGTTTTAGTTCAATAGTCTATAGCGTCGTTAGGTTCCGGAATTTGTTAAACACAATCAAGCTCTACTTTGCGCAAATCGTGTAAAAATAAATCCTCATTGAAAGTTTTAAAACATCTAAACTTAATAGCAAAATGCCTATTTTTAGGAGCTTTTAATCCATTCTTTGACCAAGCAATGCACAAGGGATAGTGGCCGCTTACTGCACTAGAAGGGACAGTACATTCAATAAAATGTGTTAGCCAAGATACATAAATGTGATCAAGTATAGTTTAAGCTGTTTCTGTCACTCTCGTAGAAAGGTTAACTAGTTGTTTAAAGTAAAAAGGTAGGATGATATCAGCTTATGTCTGGTTTGGTTCATTTGCGTCAATGTTGAGACTTTCTAGAAAATTATGTTTTGTTTCTTTGTTTAAACCTATATATATATATATATATATATATATATATATATATATATATATATATATATATATATATATATATCAATGTTTGTGTGTTTGTTTACAATCTATAGACTCGGAGGGTACTGAAATGATTTAGCTGACATTTTCAGAATATGTTTGTTTTGACACCGGAATTCTACCTGTCAAGGTTTGAAATTATACCTGTCATTGTAAGAGATAGGTGACGACATTTGCTGTAACAATTTTCGAAACGAATATTTCCATTTAAGTGACATTCAATGAAAGCCACATTCGTAAATGCGAATGCGCAGTTGTCGAAAGGAACGACTTTCACCGTGCGTGCGCAGTAGATGGGATGCTCCACTGTCAACATCCGCCCGCGACATTAAAGTTATTTCTAGGACAACAATTTCCTGCAGTTTTTAGTTGTGTTAAAATCAAGAAAAATCTCAAGAGGTAAGCGCATTTATTAACATATTAGTCAGTATGTACATTTTTTTTTAAAACTTCAAACATGTGAGGACCACTCCTTAAATCACGCAATGATAAATGTATATACATTATCTGTTGGCTTTCTCATATTGTCTAGCGTGTATTATGGTTATTATTATAATTATTCTTATACAGAACTGATACAGTTTAAATGTCTACACAATTTCGGTTGGCTTTCTTCTGTTATTCAAAAGAAATATATAAATTTACATGAAATTCCGTCTCAGGTCAGTGTTAGAATCCTATAAATATCTCAAAAGGTGAGCGCATTTATTTCAGTGACATCAGTGAGTCAGTATGTAATTTTTTTTTAATTGTTAACTTCAAACATGTGTGGACCACTCCTTAAATCCCACAATGATAAATGTATACACATTATCTGTTGGCTATCTCATATTGTCTAGCGTGTATTATCGTTGTTATTGTTACTATTATTATTTTTATTAAACAGAACTGCTACAGTTTAAATGTCTACTCAATTTCGGTTGGCTTTCTGCTATTATTCAAAAGAATTATACACATTTACATTAAATTCTGTCTCAGTTCAACTGCAGGTAGTCTGTAGTTAAGTCGATTATTTCAGTCGCACGACATATTAACCACACATCTTACTGCTGCACTTGAAACCTATTCATATTGTTTACCGACTTTTCTTAATATTTGCTGCGCAGTTTCAATGCATTTCCTCTTGAGTCGAAATAGATTATTATCTCATGCTCATATTTTCATTTATTTCAGCTGGGCACTGGACACTTACCTATTCATATCGTTTACCGGCTTCTCAGAATATTTGCTGCCCAGTTTCTACGCATTTTCTCTTGAGTCGATATAGAGTGTTATCTCCTTCTCATATTTTCATTTATTTTAGCGATACTTCAAGTCACATTTCATTGAGTGCGGGAGGACGAACAAGCTATTGAGGATCAACGCTCTCTAAATTCACACGCCGTTCAATATTTTGTCAAACATTTGCAGTTATGCCTCCCAAACGACAAGCGACTGGTCCATCTACACATAGAGCACGCAAGAAAAGGGCATTAATTGCTTCAGAAACAGACGAGCAACATGAAGTAAGACGAAACCGTTCGAGTGCGCACTGCTGAAGCCCGTTCATCTCAGTCAGACCAGCAACGGAAAGCAAGACTAGAAAACATTTGAGTGCGCACTGCTGAAGCCAGATCGTCTCAGTCAGACGAGCAATGAGAAGCAAGACTGGAAACCAATAGAGTACGGTCTGCTCAAGTCGGTTTATTAGAAACCATCGAGCAATGGAAAGCAAGACTGGACACGTTCGAATGCGCACTAATTTATCCAGTCGAACACTGCATGTTGATTTGAATCTTGGTGCATTCCATTACAGCAGCAATTATGATTACTGTCTTCATCCACAGGTGCTTATTACCAAAATGGATAAATTGCGAATGTGCTGCGCAGATGGAAAAGTTATATTGCCAGTATAACATTCACCACACGAACCATTATCATAACTGGTAGCAGGTGACACAAGCCAGTCCAAACATTCGCAAGTACAATTCATTTTTCCAAATGACATAATTCGGCGCAACAAATATTGTGCGCGAGAATTACCTGCCAACATTCAAAGTGCAAGGCCAGATTTATGATTGTGCTGGCTCGATTCAATAAGGAGACACAACGAGAAATAGTCACTGCTTTACAAACTTTACAACAAATTAATTAGATTGTTCAGAACTGCTCTTCAACAAATACCAGCTGATGACTACAGAGTTGTACTTAGAGCTGACAAAACACTGTCGGCCAACACGAAAGACAGTACAATGCACCAACAATTCATGAAATGCCGATTGTTATGGTGGCTAACTCGCGTGATATAATTTTTCATCGCAGAAATGGTGATGTTTAGCGAGTCTCAGAAACTCATCGCTCATATGATGGATTGCAATATCCAGTTTTGTTGTTTTTTTTTTTTTGGCAAGGAGAAGATATCATATCAGCATCAAATTGAGAAATCCACAGACACATAAGGAGATGAATAAGAAAGTCAGTGCCATGAATTATTTATTATTCAAATCGATTGATGGTTCCAATAAAAAAATTGTCGATATGTATGCGAAAATTGAAACCGAGCGACTCCTCTATATTCGATTAAATAAAACTAAGTTTGAATGAGGCTTTGTTGTTTACCCGAACATTCATTAGGTAATTATGGTGGATTTTTCCTGTTTTCGTTACTTTTCATCTGGTTATTTTTGTCTCCCAACTACTTCGATGAGGAAAAGAGTAGTCGGTGAACTGGGGAAGGGGGGGGGGGGGGAGAGAGGGGTGTTATAACATAAAGTGTTAACTGAGAGAGTTTTAAGTCACAGTAACTGCCTTACCCACTCAAAGTAGCAGTAGTAATAGTTGTGGTTGGGCAGTTACATGGTAGTGCTCTCATGCGGAGACCAGGAGACCGCTGGTAAGGTCATGGCGTTTTTCTGTCGGGGAGCAAAATTACACATCCTAACCTGACCAGTCTGTGGCGATAGCCAAATCGTCTAGCTCATGACTGCCTGTGTACTTCAATGGTTAAGCAGATAGCAGTGACATTATTTTAGTTATTGTAGTGGTGGTAGTAGTTGTACTGGTACTTGAAAGATGGTATGGTAAATATTACACTAGCCACATTTACTACTCATTACAATTCCTGCTCCCCATTTTAGTCTGGATGGACAGGGATATCAAGGTTAGTTACACAAAAAATATCGTCAGGTGATGACACTCAAATCCTTCGAAGAGGGAGAGAGCAGTAGTCCATGGATGCAAGAGGGGACGGGGTGATGACTGAAACTGTTAACTTAAAGAGCTTAACACATGATTTTAAAGTTTTAATTTCCAAATTTGTTTATATTTTACCAACGCTACCTCCAGTATTCTCATTTTTTTTCACGACTTACTTGCTTATTTACAAGTATAGTAGTAAGCTTTACCTCCGTCTCTTTAAAAAAAAAATACACACAGCATTAGCATGTGATAACCAAATAAGAGTTGTTTTTTTCAAACTGTCCTAATAATACCATTTAAACGACGACTAATATAAACACACAAATATATGTTGCATGTTCTAAAGTCGGCAAACCAGACTATCTCTATATCTGTGCAGACAATGATTGCGACATTAAGTATATTAGTAAGATGCGATTTCTATTGTCTTTCTTTTCCAAGAACCTTCGATGAGGGAAAGAGTAGATAGTGGACTTTGGGGGGGGGGGGGGGGGGGGATGGAGCATCATAGACTATCTCTGTATCTGGGCAGACAATGATTGCGACAGTTACCAAATTAGACACGTGCCATTTCTATTTTCTTTCTTTTCAATTTAGCCAAACTATGCCATAACAACGCTTGGCCGGCTCCAGCTATACAACATAAAAGGGAAGTCGTTATACCAGTTGTTAACTGCGCAAGGATTTCGATATAGGCAACCATTAAAAAGTGATCGCTGGTTTGACGGCTTGACTTCCAGCCAGACACACTTTACCTCTAAGGATTCTAGATCATTTCTATGGGAATAATCAAGGAAATTTGAGATGTACACGTTATACCTGTTTCTAGTTTTCTCACTGCGTCTTTAGAAATAACACTGAACCCCCTAATTTTAATTTCATTATCTGTAATTTTATTGTTTAGCCGACTCTTTGTTTTTCCACACACAAAAAATGAAACTGATTGTTAAGCGTAACTGACAGCTCAGGTAACTGACAGCTCAGGTAACTGACAGCTCAGGTAACTGACAGCTCAGGTAACTGACAGCTCAGGTAACTGACAGCTCAGGTAACTGACAGCTCAGGTAACTGACATCTCAGGTAACTGGCAGCTCAGGTAACTGGTAGCTCAGGTAACTGGCAGCTCAGGTAACTGACAGCTCAGGTAACTGACAGCTCAGGTAAATGGCAGCTCAGGTAACTGGCAGCTCAGGTAACTGACAGCTCAGGTAACTGACAGCTCAGGTAACTGGCAGCTCAGGTAACTGACAGCTCAGGTAACTGACAGCTCAGGTAACTGACAGCTCAGGTAACTGACAGCTCAGGTAACTGACAGCTCAGGTAACTGACAGCTCAGGTAACTGGCAGAGTAAATGATAAATGTTTTGTTGACCTATTCGGATGCCCAATTTGTTTAGCCCCAGGAGGAAGAAGGAGGGTGAAGGACGAAGAAGGAAGAAGTAGGAAAAGAAAAATTTCACTTAGTAAAATTAGCATGAGCCTTTTGCGGTGCATGTGATCAAAAACTGGCCTTGAAAGGTGCATCTAGGGGCGTTGACTCCAGTTTTGTAGCTATGGAATTGATCTCTGTTCGGGCTGTATGCCAAGGGAGATACTCTAGCTCGTTGTGTAAGTATTCCAGTGTTGCCAGGGCAACATGGATTGTGGTATAATTAGAGCTGCAAAACAAATATGTGGAGAGTGAACTGTTGAAATACTTGGATGCTGACAGTTAAAAAAATGTGGGACAAACGCTTGAGAAAAATGCACTGATGTATCTGTGGTCTGATAAGTTAGTCATTTTATAGTGTAGTTTTTTTCTGGTACGAGTACATTTCCTCCACTGTTCAATTTATGCTGGGATTGTATAAGAATAGCCTTTTAATTCACTTCAGTGTATAGGAAGCTGGACGGGATGGATGTAGTATAGAGAGAAGCGTAACGATCTGGTTCAGTATCTTCTTCTTCTTCTTCTTCTTCTTCTTCTTCTTCTTCTTCTTCTTCTTCTTCTTCTTCTTCTTCTTCTTCTTCTTCTTCTTCTTCTTCTTCTTCTTCTTCTTTTCTTCTTCTTCTTCTTCTTCTTCTTCTTCTTCTTCTTCTTCTTCTTCTTCTTCTTCTTCTTCTTCTTCTTCTTCTTCTTCTTCTTCTTCTTCTTCTTCTTCTTCTTCTTCTTCTTCTTCTGCTTCTGCTTCTTCTGTTTCTGCTGCTTCTGCTTCTTTGCTTCTGCTTCTGCTTCTTTGCTTCTGCTTCTGCTTCTTTGCTTCTGCTTCTGCTTCTTTGCTTCTGCTTATGCTTCTTTGCTTCTGCTTCTTTGCTACTGCTTCTTTGCTTCTGCTTCTTTGCTTCTGCTTCTGCTTCTTTGCTTCTGCTTCTTTGCTTCTGCTTCTGCTTCTTTGCTTCTGCTTCTGCTTCTTTGCTTCTGCTTCTTTGCTTCTGCTTCTGCTTCTTTGCTTCTGCTTCTGCTTCTTTGCTTCTGCTTCTGCTTCTTTGCTTCTGCTTATGCTTCTTTGCTTCTGCTTCTGCTTCTTTGCTTCTGCTTCTTTGCTTCTGCTTCTGCTTCTTTGCTTCTGCTTATGCTTCTTTGCTTCTGCTTCTTTGCTTCTGCTTCTTTGCTTCTGCTTCTTTGCTTCTGCTTCTGCTTCTTTGCTTCTGCTTCTGCTTCTTTGCTTCTGCTTCTGCTTCTTTGCTTCTTTGCTTCTGCTTCTGCGTCTTTGCTTCTGCTTCTTTGCTTCTGCTTCTGCTTCTTTGCTTCTGCTTCTTTGCTTCTGCTTCTGCTTCTTTGCTTCTTTGCTTCTGCTTCTTTGCTTCTGCTTCTGCTTCTTTGCTTCTGCTTCTTTGCTTCTGCTTCTTTGCTTCTGCTTCTGCTTCTGCTTCTTTGCTTCTGCTTCTTTACTTCTGCTTCTTTGCTTCTTTGCTTCTGCTTCTGCTTCTTTGCTTCTGCTTCTTTGCTTCTGCTTCTTTGCTTCTGCTTCTTTGCTTCTGCTTCTGCTTCTTTGCTTCTGCTTCTGCTTCTTTGCTTCTGCTTCTGCTTCTTTGCTTCTTTGCTTCTGCTTCTTTGCTTCTGCTTCTGCTTCTTTGCTTCTTTGCTTCTGCTTCTTTGCTTCTGCTTCTGCTTCTTTGCTTCTGCTTCTTTGCTTCTTTGCTTCTGCTTCTTTGCTTCTGCTTCTGCTTCTTTGCTTCTGCTTATTCTGCTGCTGCTGCTTCTTCTTCTTCTTTTTCTTCTTCTTCTTCTTCTTCTTCTTCTTCTTCTTCTTCTTCTTCTTCTTCTTCATGTTTACCGACTGTAAACTGCATCGGAAAGTTCTGGTTGTTCGTCTACTCCTGGACTGTAGTCATGTTCTAGAACTTGAGTTTTCGTGCACATAAAGTTTACAGACCTGGTTTATATGTATGCAGACTGTTAGTTCCTCGGCTCTTAGGCAGGTATACCTTATCTTAGGAAAAAAAAATTCCGTATGATATTTTTGCAATATACAACTTGAGTTGTTTCCAGTGGAAAAACGACCAAAAAGATTCTCATTGAATTTACTGCTCACATGTATCAAATAAAGCAGCCAGATAAAGAAACCACGTTAGGTTCACTCGCTGTTACATTAACCAGAACAGAATGGGAGTTGTTAGACTAAAAACACCTGGAGACATACTCAGGTGGACATTCAGCACTTATGATCAAGTGCAATGTGCTGTGGAGATGATCTTTAAAATAGCAATAAACAATAAACAGCCACAAATCTTAAGAAAAGTTGTCAGAACATAGAAACCTGATAAACAGGTTGCATACTGTGCTTGGCTCTGAACATCTGCATTGGATGTTGAAAATGGGAGCGTGACTAGCGATGATGAAGCTGTTTAAGTTGACAATGCACACGATTAGCCGACATGCATATAAACAAATAATATCCCTGTGACAGTTTATCCCTTCTTGATGCTAATTCCTTGTGACGTTGGTTTACAGCTAGACTGTGATATTTGCCCCCTACGGGAATCCCTACTTGAAAGGTCAAATGGAAGCTGAGCTAGAACAAGTCAGTCTGCCCCAAGTCCGTCCCTCATTCCGGTCTGTCAAGCGCAGCAATCAACAGAAGAAGTTCCAGCAGATTGTAAGCCAAATTTGAAGCACAAGTAATAAAATATGTCACTTGCCAACATCATCACCTCCACTGTCAGATGATATTGTGACCTTGACCTAACTACTGCCTGGAGGTCTCTAAGACCAAATGCTACAGTCTTAGATTCAATCTTCATTCTGGATGTTATGACTTTACAACTTCACTCTTCCTACAAAAACTTCAGTAGTCTGCATGATCTTCATTTTGACAACTAAATGGGAAGATGAACAAAAAAAAAAGACTTACTATGATAGTTTCCACGCATCGTCGATGATTTGTGCTCTGTTAATTACAGGAATCACCTGTGAGAGAAATGTCTGTGATCGTTGTAAGTAGAAATGATGCAACGCTCCGATATACACTCAAAAACTTCAATGTTACCTTCGTGACGCTGGAAAAAAGTGGGGTAGCTTTTTTTGGGCAGTATTCTGATCACCTTCTCCTACTCCTTCATCCTTAATACCATCATTGTCATCACAATCATGATCATCATCTTCATCATATTTTTCTGTTTTCTCTTCTTCTTCTTCTTCTTCTTCTTCTTCTTCGTCTTCTTCTTCTTCTTCTTCTTCTTCTTCTTCTTCTTCTTCTTCTTCTTCTTCTTCTTCTTCTTCTTCTTCTTCTTCTTCTTCTTCTTCTTCTTCTTCTTCTTCTTCTTCTTCTTCTTCTTCTTCTTCTTCTTCTTCTTCTTCTTCTTCTTCTTCTTCTTCTTCTTCTTCTTTTTCTTCTTCTTCTTCTTCTTCTTCTTCTTCTTCTTCTTCTTCTTCTTCTTCTTCTTCTTCTTCTTCTTCTTCTTCTTCTTCTTCTTCTTCTTCTTCTTCTTCTTCTTCTTCTTCTTCTTCTTCTTCTTCTTCTTCTTTTTCTTTTTCTTTATTTTTTCCTTCTTTTTTTCCTCCTAATCAGTAATTCAAATTATTATTATTTGTCGCACTCTTGCAAAATGCATGACATCTTTAGCCTTCCGGATTATGTGAAGATAAATTGACTCTCTTATCGCCATCCGGGCATCGGGGCAGATGACGCTTGACCAGTGCTGTGTGTAGAAAAAATGCGACCTTTACTTGTAGACAAGCGAGGTGGCTTCGACCAAGGTCGAATTCAATATGGGCCTTGCGGCTGGTGTCATCTTGACGTGACGTCACCACCCCGGGCTACCGATACGAACATTAATAACATTCAGTGAAACAGTTGATGTCTTCGAAATAGGCTGACTATAGTCTCATATTTACTCTGAAATTCCCCTACTTTACTGTGTCGCTTTATGTAAGTCCATGTGATACTTACAGAATGGTTTCTCTTTAACTGTTGACTCAGGGCCAGCCAGTTGCTGACTTGGTAGTTGACTCGATAGTAGCCATACTGGTGGAGATTGACCAGGACCCAGCCATTGGGGTCTGCACAGTTGGGTAATGGGATGCTCACATGGAGTGTCTCTGTCGAAGCGTAAAGACACAGAATGGACAACCATATCTAACTAATGGAAGTGGTCAGCATGACAAAATAATTGACTATGAAAATCGATGTAAGAAAGGAAAAAGACTTAGTAAGTCTATCTTCTTGAGTCTAGAGTGGTGCATAGGGCAGTGGTCATAGCTCTCTGTGTCTGGCTTTTCGTCGCCACCTGTTTTATGTCTTGGATGTTTGTTAGGCCCGTGGTTCAACCTTCCCTGATGATGTTTCTACATAGAATCTCTCTTGGTCTTTCCCGTTTGCTTTTCCCCTCCAGTGTCCATATGAGGAAGTCTGAGTTCAAGCGGCAATTTCTTATAAACTTGGATACGTTATCTTGCTATAACACTGTGGGTGGTTGTAATTTATCTGACAAGACTGAAGGTGTAAAGGAGATCGAAAACATATGCACTCTACCATAAATGAGAAAAGTCCCATCCCTGAATATTGTTAGGAAGTTAAGTAATTCTGAGTCAAGATCCATTCGGATATTTACACACTCATTCGGAGACATGCAGCATAATCAGCTCATAGTTTAACCGGCTGTTTAGTAAATCTAATAAGATTTCACGTAATTTGATAGTCGGAAATGCTTCTTTATTAGTTACTCACTCAAAATAATCTTGTGTTGTAGTTTAAGAAATAAACACCTATATTTATCACATTTCGAGGTACACCAAATGATTTTGCCTGTTTTTGTCCCTATCCCTGGTCGATTTGTTTAGCCCTTAAACACGTATACCCCATCTCTTTTGTCTTACCGGTGACCTCATTTAGAACATATCTCCCATTGTCTGTAATGGTGACTCCATTTTAGCATGGACTCCATAATATTCACAGAATCAGCTCAGATCAAAAGCTCCGATTGTTTATTTGATGCCCCGTTTGAGTAAGAAGTCCCTGACCAACATCCATACGTTGGCACGGGAAAGATGCACGATCTCAAAATATTTATTTTAGCTTGCTTCCTGCTGTTTTGTCTCTGCATCGCTAAAGCAAGTCTTACTCCGACTTCTTTTGTCGCCATCGCTAATGGTGTTCACTACAGAGCTTAAATATTTAAAATCAGAGAGATTTTCAAGAAACAACAACTGTGATGATATATTAAACATCTGTAGTTCTGTACTTCAGTCTGACTCTCCCTTCTGTTCACTTACTGGATTGTTCCTTCGTGTCCATCCAGTAAACATGGTGACCGCTCGTCTGGTTAAATATTGTGTGGTTGCTGGAAGCCAGTGTCAGGGGAATCGTCCACCGATAGCTGCAAATGTGACCATGTCATTATCTTTTCAGAAGAATTCAATGGAATGAAAACCAAACAGCGATCAGCAAGCACATCATCATATTTAAATACGGTACATTACACACAAATACAACTCTTCAACTTGTAGACATGCGTGAGTAGAGGCACAGTAAAGTCAACGACTGTGTTAGCTACATAGTGAAGTGATTTAGTTGTGCATCTTTGACAGGACGTTGTAGAACCAACTTAAGCTGCTTTTGTTTTACATTCAGTAGTTTGCCATTGTTGTCTGAAGGGTGGCCTCTCGATACGGATGTCGAAATCAAGGCAAAGCAGACTGCTTTAATGTTGGGAATATCTGGTACTAGACTCCCGTTTCATAGATCAACCGGCATAAGCTCAAAGTCATGCCGGCCGCCTTTATTTCCCAAAACTTTATCTGGTACTCATTTTACTCTGGGTCGATCTTGGAGCCAAAAACATTTTTTAGAAACCAATCCGTCTTAATGCGCAAATGAAGCCAAGACTGTAAGGCGCTGCAAACGAACATTTAGTTGTTAGGCCAGAGTGGCTGCCACAGATATGTCTGAAAATAGCCTAATTTATTTTTGAGTAATGACACTAAAAATAATGAACACACTACACGGCCAAAAATGTAGGTAATAATGACACTGGAACAATAACACACTACTCAACAACAACAACAAATTGTCGCCGGAGCTACGGAGCACGTGCTCTGCGCTTGACGTCATCTTCAGCAAGCAGCAAAGAGAGGGTTAAGAGTAGAAAACGAGGAAATGGTGGGAAAAGAGAGCAGAGAAATAGTAATACATAACGATACTGGAACAATTACCCAATACTCGAGAACAACGTATGATATACGGATACTGAAATAATTAACCCACTATTCGACGTAAAAGAATGATATAATGATACTAGAGCAATTAACTCGCTACTGGACATAAACGTATCATATAAGGAAATAGGAACAATAAACTCAGTACTCGGCGACAAAGTATGATATAGGAATACTGGAACAATCAACTCACTTCTCGACAAAAAAAGTATGATGTAAGGAAACTGGAACAATCAACTCACAAAAAAAGTATGATGTAAGGAAACTGGAACAATCAACTCACAAAAAAGTCTGTTGTAAGGAAACTGAAACAATCAACTCACAAAAAAGTATGATGTAAGGAAACTGGAACAATCAACTCACAAAAAAAGTATGATGTAAGGAAACTGGAACAATCAACTCACAAAAAAGTCTGATGTAAGGAAACTGCAACAATCAACTCACAAAAAAGTATGATGTAAGGAAACTGAAACAATCAACTCACAAAAAAGTATGATGTAAGGAAACTGCAACAATCAACTCACAAAAAGTATGATGTAAGGAAACTGCAACAATCAACTCACAAAAAAGTCTGATGTAAGGAAACTGCAACAATCAACTCACAAAAAAAGTCTGATGTAAGGAAACTGCAACAATCAACTCACAAAAAAGTATGATGTAAGGAAACTGCAACAATCAACTCACAAAAAAGTATGATGTAAGGAAACTGCAACAATCAACTCACAAAAATGTCTGATGTAAGGAAACTGCAACAAATAATTACTCGAGATCAGGTTATTCGGTTACAGCTAGAGGAGAGGGAGGGGAAAAGGTGCGCAATTGAGGAAGGGGGGGGGGGAAGTGGCGGGCCGGGGAGGGATGTACGTGTAGCCGCCTCACAAATTTTCTGCTGCGGAGTTGGGGCAAACGCCTCTTTACACATTGTCAATGGGAGCATCGAAGGCATTATGACTTGTAAAAGGCACAATAATATTAAAAATAATAAATTGGATGGTAAAAACGTGTTGTGTTAGGGATCCATAGTTGGTCATGCGCCTTGTTCGCTTGTTGTTCACGGAGACAGAACATTTGACTGCCTGCTGAAGATTGGCGTCCGCGCCTCCTTTGTTCTTGCATGTCCCATTTTAATGCCTGTTTGGTGTGATTCTTTGCTCGTTTCTTCTCTAGATGTATCCAATATAGCCCCATCTTCTTTCTCCTAAAACTGTTAACTAGTCATCTTCCAGACATTTCTCTTATTTATTCATCCTCTTTTTAATTCATACCATTTTATGTTTATCAATTTCCTGAGAAATCTGATTTTGAATGCATTTAAGTCTCGTTCCATGTCTTAAGTGGTTCACCAACTTTCAGTAGCAAACGTTAAAACTGAAACAAATTTGAGTGCCTTGATGTCGTTTAACTTAACAAACCTCTTGCGGCTGAGTGCCTTCAGTCGTTCAACTTAACAAACCTCTTGCGGCTGAGTGCCTTGATGTCGTTCAACTTAACAAACCTCTTGCGGCTGAGTGCCTTGATGTCGTTCAACTTAACAAACCTCTTTCTGCTGACAGTATTCATATCGGTCAACTCAACAAACTTCTTGGAACTAAGTGAAAGACAAAATGACTGACTGTCTGACTTTCTACCTCACCAGGACATCATACAAGCGATAAACACCCGATGACACAAAGTGCCACCATGTGGATGAGGATCGCCGTGGAGAGGTCCCAGAAACTGCGTTCAGCCAATTGGCCATATTTATGGCCTGCCTATATTGCGGCCCCTGGCAAAAGCCAGGGTGGGGCTTCAAAAAACAAAAAAATTCATCATAAAAAGGACGAAACTGGATATCTCATATCAAAATGAGAGGATATTAATAAAAACAAAATAAGGAATACAAAAATATGGACAAATAATATTTCTTGTGAGTATTTTAAATGGCTCAAAAAGCCCATGACAATGCGATGTGTCACTTACTGGAAAGGCGATTGGCTTGTGTCTTGGTGTTTGGTTTCAGGAAACTTGAGGAATCGTTCTTGTGTGAGGTGTAGAATGCTGCTGTTGTACATGTTCTGTACCACTGTGACAACCGGGAAGTTTCTTTGGATGATCCAGGTGTCCATGAACTCCTTCACGTTGATGTTGAGACCATCAGATGTGGCTTGCTAAAGAGCAACATTTTATTGTTAGCTTGTAACCTGGGAATGTCTGTGTGCTTCCTTTCTCTGTCAGTGACATGTCTGCGCGTTTCTATGTATATACATAACCGTCATTACTGCTCGGATGTACCACTTATTATGGCGGACTAGGATGGGGAGGACGTGGGGTGGGTGGAGTTTTCGTGATCGTGTTGAATTAGGACTTCACGGCTAGTGGAGTCGCCACGAACGGCTAGTGGAGTCACCACAAACGGCTAGAGGAGTCGCCACGAACGGCTAGTGGAGTCGCCACGAACGTCTAGGGAAGTCGCCACGAACGGCTAGTGGAGTCGCCACGAACGTCTAGGGAAGTCGCCACGAACGGCTAGTGGAGTTGCCACGAACGTCTAGGGAAGTCGCCACTAACGGCTAGTGGAGTTGCCACGAACGTCTAGGGAAGTCGCCACGAACGGCTAGTGGAGTTGCCACGAACGTCTAGGGAAGTCGCCACGAACGGCTAGTGGAGTTGCCACGAACGTCTAGGGAAGTCGCCACGAATGGCTAGTGGAGTTGCCACGAACGTCTAGGGAAGTCGCCACGAACGGCTAGTGGAGTTGCCACGAACGTCTAGGGAAGTCGCCACGAACGGCTAATGGCTGCAGGCTATAGTTTTTTTTAAAGGAAGATTGGGGGGGGGGTGGGAGCCTCGACGGAGAAAACAAACAAAACTCTGTCATCTTACTGAGGATCGAACAAGGGTCTGCCTCTCTCACTCTTGCTCTCCCCTCCCCCCCCCCTCTCTCTCTCTCTATCTATCTTGCACACACACCATACAAACACATATATTTATCAATCATCATCATCATCTTCATTATCATGTAGCAGATTCTTTACAGAAGATCGCTCTCATCAGATCCTCCTTGAAAGAAACTCGGTCTCGCCAGCTTTCCCTCCTCAAGGATCGCAGGTTCTTTTCCCTAACCGTCTCTTTTAATTTCTACGTTTATCCATGAGAACTATCTCTGGACCTTTGTGTCTTTGCTTTGTGTGTACTATCGGTGGAAGGCAAGCTTTCTTCGGAGACAGACTGAGCTATCTCGAATGTATCTCAATGGAATCATCTGTCTGACTTAAAACCATTAAATCATACATAATTCTTCCTTCTAGAAAAATGTTTCGGTCCTAGTACCACGATTATAGGGAAAAAGGGGGTTGGGGTGGATGCTCTGTAAGCATGTAGCAAGAAGCAGCCAATTTCGAGGTTTTTTTTTATGAACAACAGCCCGTAACTTAGAGCAGTTACAACAGCCCGTGATTTAGAGCAGTTATAACAACCAGTATCTAACAAGTAACTCTGTTCAGTAACAACAGCCAGTGTGATTCACACCTAAAGTACGAAAACACAGTTTTCGCGCAAAAGACCTCTCAGCACTATGATGCTAAACGTATTTTGATGTCTACTCACATCAGTGGCTGATGTGCTAAACATCACGCTGAACGCGCTTACTTCCCTGGAATTTACCAAGTACTCAGTTTAGACTGAGTTGACCCGGCAGCAACGGTCATTCTTGGAAATGTAAATCCCACTATCATGATTTGAGCACAAGACTTTCGGGCTGACAGTATCCTTAACAAGAGGAGGGTGGGGGTGGGGTGCCAGAAACACCAGAACAACAACAATCACATCTGAAACGGACAACAAACCAATAACAACAGTCGCAACGGTTACGGACCTCTTGTATGGCACTGTATAAATCATCTCGGTTAAACGTGCCGTACAAGTGCTTCTTGAGGAGTTTCTGGAAGTAAAGTGCACTCTCACTCTTAATTTACACATAGATATCTGTTACGTGCACTCTCACTCTTAATTTACACATAGATATCTGTTACGTGCACTCTCACTCTTAATTTACACATAGATATCTGTTACGTGCACTCTCACTCTTAATTTACACATAGATATCTGTTACGTGCACTCTCACTCTTAATTTACACATAGATATATGTTACGTGCACTCTCTCTCTTAATTTACACATAGATATCTGTTACGTGCACTCTCACTCTTAATTTACACATAGATATCTGTTACGTGCACTCTCACTCTTTTTACACATAGATATATGTTACGTGCACTCTCACTCTTAATTTACACATAGATATATGTTACGTGCACTCTCACTCTTAATTTACACATAGATATATGTTACGTGCACTCAAAAACTCTCAGATTAAGGTCAGATATCAGGTAAGTGCACTAAACTACTCTCAGATTACAGTTATAAATCAGATAAGTGCACTTAACTTCTCTTACATTACAGTTAGAAATCAGATAAGTGCACTTAACTTCTCTTACATTACAGTTAGATATCACATAAGTACACTTAACTTCTCTTAGATTACAGTTAGATATCACATAAGTGGACTCAACTTCTCTTAGACTACATTTTAATATCACATAAGTGCACTTAACTACTCTTACATTACAGTTAGATATCACATAAGTGCACTTAACTTCTCTTACATTACAGTTAGAAATCAGATAAGTGCACTTAACTTCTCTTACATTACAGTTAGATATCACATAAGTGCACTTAACTTCTCTTACATTACAGTTAGATATCACATAAGTGCACTTAACTTCTCTTACATTACAGTTAGATATCACATAAATGCACTTAACTTCTCTTAGATTACAGTTAGATATCACATAAGTGCACTTAACTTCTCTTACATTACAGTTAGATATCACATAAATGCACTTAACTTCTCTTAGATCACAGTTAGATATCACATAAGTGCACTTAACTTCTCTTACATTACAGTTAGATATCACATAAGTGCACTTAACTTCTCTTAGATTACAGATAGATATCACATAAGTGTCCTCATCTACTCGATATCTGGTAAGTACACTTAACTACTCTTAAACTGCAGCTAGATAATTTGTTAAGTAAACACAACTACTCTCATAGTGCAGAGAGATATCTGGTGAATGCCATCACACGGAATACAATTATGTGTTTGGTAGCTGCCCTCAACTACTAGATATCTAGTATGTGTACTCACCTACTCTCAGAATGCAGAGAGATATATAGTAAGTTCACGCAACTACCCTCAGAAAACTGCAAGACATCTGGCAAGGCCACTCAACTACTTTTATAACACAGCTAGATATTAAATAAGTGTATTCTTTAAGAAAAACAATACAAAATCATCTCTGCCCACAAACATTCAAATTCACAGTCGGCATGCAGGAAAGCAGGATTACTACTGCCGTGCTGCTACTTCTGGTGGGTATGCGTCTTTGTAGGGACTAGTGGGAACATGGCGCCATCGACATTGTTGCATGAAGGGAGGAGACAAATCAGGAATGGAAGAGGGATACATGTTAAATGCGATTGCAGGTAAGTCAAAAGCTGATTGTATGAGAAGAGACACTTCAGATATATGTGATTACAGCAATAGTTCTCAAATCCAATGCTGTAATCGTAGAATACATAAAGAGAGGTGTGGGGGAGGGGCGAGGGGAGTCCACTCTGGCCGTACAAGCATTAAACATATTTTTTTTTTTTTTTTAAATTAGACGATTTGTTTATCGACACTAAGAGAAAGAATTAAAAAGCAAGGTCGCACTAAACAACATAAAAATTGGAGCTATAGTTACCGTGCTGGAAATCGAACCTGTCACCTCCAGCTGTGGAGCGTACCCCGCTATAAAAATAACCCCTAATAATGGTGTTGTCTCACTGTTACCAGGTTGTAGCCCAGTGTCGTGGTTTTCTTCAACTGTCTTGCGCTTCTCGGGTTGTTCAAGAAAGGGATTTGTTCGTCTTGTTGCAGGTTTTTGCTACACTATTTATCCATTATTTCGTGGTTTTCCTCCTGCCTTTGTCATATGTAGTTCTTTTCTGATCTAGAGCCCTGTTAATTGTCCATGTTTCGCGTGATAACATGCAGATGCTATTAATCCTTTGCTGTTTTCCTGGAAGGGAGACATTTAGGTGTCTAAGCAGTTAGGCTAACTGGTGACAGCATTCGCCTTCTTACATGTAAGGAGTATCTCTACTGAATTACCACCTTTTCCCGATGCTTTGTTCTTTCCATTTTAATTGAGGGCAGTTTCAACTTCAGATTCCAGTATCTTTAATCTGTGGGGTTTTGCACATTCCAGGCATTTGGATCACCGTGGTGGAGCGGCAAGACTCTCGCTTGCTGAACCGAAAGTTTTGGCTTTGGGACCTGACGGAGTCGATCCCTTTGCAAAAATGAGCTAAGCTTCCAGTAAGACCACGTCTTAAGCGGGTACCAGGTAAGGTCTAGGGAAATAGAGGCGGCCGGCGTGATGTTGTCCACATCAACCACCGATTGCTAATGGGTCTATAAAATTAGGGTTTATCCTTGTCTACTCAATACACCTAAAAGCGTGGAAACGGGTCCTTTATTCGACTAGCTAGAAAAACTGAACCCTTCCCGATGGCCATATAGATAACATTTGTGTTTCCACGAGGGCACATGGGACAAATAATTTCAGCCATGTTATTAAAAAAATTGCATAGCCTTTTTATCGAAAGCCATAGGTGTTCTTGTAAAGAGCAGCGTGGGGCCTGCAGACCGCATGTTTGACGTTCCTGCTCAAGATTGCGAATGCTCCTCAGCCTTACAGCGTCAGGCTGATACAAGTACAGTTCAAAAACAGAAGAAACCGGTAGTAGTAGTATTACATTTTACCCCACTAGGACATGACACAAGCGATAAACACCCGATGACGCAATTTGCCATCATGTGGATGAGGATCACCAGTTAAGAGGTCCCAGAAAACCGCGTTCAGGCTTTAGACCCTATTTATGGCCGGGTTATATTGCTGCCCCCGGCAAGAGCTAGAGTGGGGCTTCAAAATATCGACGAATTGCATCCCACGAGGGGATGACTAATTATAAATTACAAAAAGAAACAGATACGGTGCTCACCTTGTATGCGGTGTGAAAACTGGACTCTCCAATCACAGACACGAACATCCGGACAAGGC